CTTCCTCTGTTACATTATACATTCTGTTACATTATACATTCTGTTCACTTCCTCTGTTACATTATAAATTCTGTTACATTATACATTCTGTACACTTCCTCTGTTACATTATAGATTCTGTTACATTATACATTCTGTCCACTTCCTCTGTTACATTATACATCCTGTAAACTTCCTCTGTTACATTATACTTTCTGCACACTTCCTCTGTTACAATATACATTCTGTACACTTCCTCTGTTACATGATACATTCTGTACACTTCCTCTGTTACAATATACATTCTGTAAACTTCCTCTGTTACAATATACATTCAGTAAACTTCCTCTGTTACATTATCCTTTCTGTACACTTCCTCTGTTACATGATACATTCTGTACACTTCCTCTGTTACATCATACACTCTGTAAACTTCCTCTGTTACATTATACATCCTGTAAACTTCCTCTGTTACATTATCCTTTCTGTACACTTCCTCTGTTACAATATACATTCAGTACACTTCCTCTGTTACATTTTACATTCTGTACACTTCCTCTGTTACATGATACATTCTGTACACTTCCTCTGTTACAATATACATTCTGTCCGCTTCCTCTGTTACAATATACATTCAGTAAACTTCCTCTGTTACATTATCCTTTCTGTACACTTCCTCTGTTACAATATACATTCTGTCCGCTTCCTCTGTTACAATATACATTCAGTAAACTTCCTCTGTTACATTATCCTTTCTGTACACTTCCTCTGTTACATCATACACTCTGTAAACTTCCTCTGTTACATTATACTTTCTGCACACTTCCTCTGTTACAATATACATTCAGTAAACTTCCTCTGTTACATTATCCTTTCTGTACACTTCCTCTGTTACATCATACACTCTGTAAACTTCCTCTGTTACATTATCCTTTCTGTACACTTCCTCTGTTACATCATACACTCTGTAAACTTCCTCTGTTACATTATCCTTTCTGTACACTTCCTCTGTTACAATATACATTCAGTAAACTTCCTCTGTTACATTATCCTTTCTGTACACTTCCTCTGTTACATGATACATTCTGTACACTTCCTCTGTTACAATATACATTCTGTAAACTTCCTCTGTTACATTATACATTCCGTTACATTATACATTCTGTACACTTCCTCCTGTTACATTATACATTCTGTAAACTGCCTCTGTTACATTATACATTCTGTTTACTTCCTCTGTTACATTATAAATTCTGTTACATTATACATTCTGTAAACTTCCTCCGTTACATTATACATCCTGTAAACTTCCTCTGTTACATTATACATCCTGTAAACTTCCTCTGTTACATTATCCTTTCTGTACACTTCCTCTGTTACATGATACATTCTGTACACTTCCTCTGTTACAATATACATTCAGTACACTTCCTCTGTTACATTATAGATTCTGTTACATTATACATTCTGTCCACTTCCTCTGTTACATTATACATTCTGTAAACTTCCTCTGTTACATTATACATTCTGTAAACTTCCTATTGGACTTGATGTAGAGTTTTGGACGTCGGTAACAGAATATGTATATGCACGTTCCTGTCTAGACTTTCCTGTGTTATGTCCATCACTTGAACCACTCACAACATGTTTAAATAAATTACCAGAAAGGTACGTGGTTTGTCGAGGCTCCATGTTCAGGATGCTTGATGCTCGTTAAATAGCAGAAAAGGGTTAAAATGTAAATATGCTTTCTAATGTGGCTGCTGTTGTAATGGCTGTACTTAGTCTTAGTGTACATTACTCTGATAGCTACACTGATGGTCAGACCCAAACCTGTCAATTTACTGTAATTATGGTCAATTGGGAAGGCAAGCAAGGGACAGATGTCAAACTGACAGTGATGTTAAGGTAAAAAAAAAGGCTGTGGTCATCCTTTACCATTGGTACCTTAATTACAGTTTGTTATTGCTATAAGAAAAACACAGTTACGGATGTATCTGTCAGTTGGTAGATTAAAGTTAACAAAATTGCATCACTTTCGTTCTGCTGTCTTACGTACATCAGACATTTAAACACAGTTTTACAGGAGGCCTGTCAGCTAGGTGATTTTAGGAGTGAAATGTTACCAGTTTATCCTTCACATCCAGGCCTGCTGTCTTTCTTCAGACTAGATATGGCGGTGTTGTTTTACTAGAGGTAGCAGCTCCTGTAGAAATGAAGGTTAATCTTGGACTACTGAACTGAGAGAAACTTGGACTGACAGATTATTACCTAGACAGGTAGAATATATATAATTTCAACCGGTTGATGGTAGGAATTATGATGTAATTATTTTCTCTTTGGTATATGAGATACGCCAATAGGTGGCGCTATTGGTGGTATTTGCACGTGCAAATGGGCTGCGTTGTTACCTATACGTGTCATTCAGGCGACACAGGTAACAATAAGAACACATGTATTTTTAAATTTGTAAATGGGCTTATTATATTGAGAATAATAGGTTAGGAGTTATATGTTTGCGTGTTAGATGTACATTATTGTGTATTTGTGTTTATTAATCATGATGATTGTAAATAAACATCGGTCAGTGCCTATGTCGCTGGGAAATACAATTTTTGTATTCATGCTGTTTATCCTATTGGATAATATAGAAGAGAACTCAATTTGACTGATACACTGCCTGAATTGTACTAATAGAAAACATGGACTGATACGATACCTTGACTAAACTAATAGAAAATATGGACTAGAGACTTTAGTAGCTGGACTAAAAACCTAAACTGGATTCATAGACAACTAGGACTACAAATAGGTAAAATGAACTAGACACGTACAGTGTATGGGATTTGTCTAGAATCAGGTGTAGAGATCACCCTGCCTACGCCTCAGTCAGGTGTAGAGATCACCCTGCCCACGCCTCAGTCAGGTGAAGAGATCACCCTGCCCACGCCTCAGTCAGGTGTAGAGATCACCCTGCCTACGCCTCAGTCAGGTGAAGAGATCACCCTGCCCACGCCTCAGTCAGGTGTAGAGATCACCCTGCC